CTTCGAGAGCAGTGCTCTGTGCCACAACCGATCGAAGGCTTTCGCTATGTCCAAACTTACCGCCAGCGCCTCCCCCTTGGACACAATTGCCTCTGCCCACCTATGTGTAAGGTATACAAGGTCACCAGCTGAGCGACCACGACGAAAGCCGTACTGAGAATCGCTAATTAGCTGGCGGCCCTCTAGCAGCTACCTCAAGAGCTGGCTGTTAATAATGGTTTCCATTATTTTGGAGAACAAGGATAGCTATTGGGCGATAGTTGGACGGATCAGAGCGATCGATCGATTTTTAGGGATCGGATGTATCGAAGCGATCTTCCAGCACTTCGGAACAGTGCCGAGCGTGTAAGGTACCGGAAAAGGCGCGTTAGGAGTTAGGACCGGAGCCAACTCAGGAGCACAAGTACGCAGTACACAATTGGGGGGATGCCATCAGGCCCGCTCGACTTATGAATGTCCAAGGAAGATAGTGCTTTGCGGACAGCACGTTGCCGGAATGTGATTTCCGGCATCGAAGAATCACACCGCGAAATGGTCGGTGGTGATCTCCCTCGGTCATCCAAAGTCGAGTTAGACGCGAAGAGACAGCCCAAAAGGTCAGCCTTCTCCTTCACAGTGTGGGCCAGAGAGTCATCCTCCCTGTGCAGTGGCGGAATGGCGGGCTGACAAAAATTCCCTTGGACAGCTTTGGCGAGAGACCAGAAGGCTCGAGTCCCTGATGGGAGTTGGGCCAATCTCTCGCCAAATCTGGCAATGTGCTCTGACTTTGCCTTAGTGATTTCCCGTTTGAAGGACCTGGAGGCTGAGTTATATGCTTTTTTAAGTTCGCTGGGATTGGCATCACGAGATTTCGCCGCTTCCGCCCATGCCTTAAAGCATTCTCGCTTTCGACGCGAGGCTGCCTTGCAAGAACGTTTAAACCAGGGCTGAGACTTGCCAACGATCGGCACCGCAGAAAATGGAATAAAGAGTTCCATGCCCTGCAGAACCACTTCGGCGACAGAGGCGGCGACGGAATCTGGAGCTTCCGGCGAAAAGCACATAGGCCCCCAAGGGTAGGACGCAAAGAAAGACCGCATCCCGTCCCAATCTGCTGACTTATAGTGCCAAATACGGCGACAACCCATAAAGCGGGGCCGTGAAGGGCGCGTAGATGGCACAGTACTCCGGACCACACAATGATCTGATGAACCCAATGGCGGGTCAACAGAGACTTGATAGTTCTCCGGATGAGAAGTCAGCAGAAGGTCCAACAACCGGGAGTCTCTCTCACCGCACGAAACGCGAGTACAATAAGGCGAACCCATTGCATCACTTCACGCCGGTTTTCTGAGAGACAGTGGTACTGCCCCGGTCGTGCCTGCCCATTTGGCTGAAGCCCGAAGGCAACAGCATGGCACTCCCACTAGGAAGGGGTTGACTGATTGCGCTGATGAAATAACCTCTGTCACAGGTTATTTCACCAGTGGGCGATGGGGTCGTCACGTCCCGAAGCCAGTAAAAGGGATCTAGTGACTTTGACCGTCAGGTCCTGAGGTCACGGGCTCAAACCTGTGTGGGCGAAAAATGCGCAATTGCAATTTGTCAAAGAAAAATTTCAATAGTAGCCATAAATTAGGTACAACCCTGTGATTCAGTGTTGCAAGTTAAGCATTCGCGATGTTTCGGTCGCATCGTATATCCATCAGAGACCAGAGTATGAAAGTCGTGAAGAAATCCGTTCTCCGTTATCTCCATTAGGGGTAAAGTATATATATAAAAAAAAATGTATTTTTGCCAATTTATTAACTTCAACAAGCACAATCTTAGTGCCTTTTTACAGAATTATAATGACAATAATTAATCTACTATTACAAACCTTTGTGCTTTAGCTTTGATATGAATTCAAAGTATGATTATTGTACAAGATCCTTAAATTTGCAAAAGTAAATCTTTATTTGAATTAATATATGTATGTATAAAACTTTTTAGTTTAATGGCAAAAATATAGGGACTGACTACATGGCAGTTACATTTCGTTAATATAAGTAAATTATCTAAGCTACACAATTAAAATTAACTTAATAATTAAAGAGAAAGTAAAAATCAAACCTGCAGATATAAAAATTCGTTAATTTACTTATTTGTACCTTTAAATTCCTTAACAAAAAGTAATTACACAGAATCTAGGATGTGATCTCCAAATTTAAGACACAAACAATTGGCAACACAGAATTTTATAACTTTATAAAGTAATTGTATGCCTTATTAAACTTCATTGAAATAGGGTAATACTAATTATGATCATGATACAATATACTCCATTAAGGAATTTATAGGTACTTGAATTTTCTTCATTAGTTTATAATTCGGCACTATTGGTTGCGGGTTGTAGGAAAAATATACATAATTTTCCACAAAAGCTAGAAGAACTTAATACATTTATTTTCTAATTAAACAGTGGGTTGCATATTATTTATATAAAACAAAAAATAATGGGAAATACCTGAAGAACATACAATGTTTCTTCCGCCAACAATTCCATTTAGATCCTTACACATAAATGAATACATATTTAATAAGACAATCTTCTGCCTTTTGACCACCTTATAAAATATAATTATTAAAAAAAGTATCTAAAATATTGATAGTATTTTCAAGGTGTGCGTTGGATAATTTACAGTAACCTGATCTGTTTTATGAAATAGGAATACCTACTTCAACGTCTTTCTATAATAATAGAATGGTACTCAGCTTTATTATAATAAACGAGTAAATAATTATAGTACTATGTATTTAAAGCAGGTTAATCAATTTTATAGTTTCGCAGAACATAACTTTTAATTTGCGTTAATGTGTAAACATGCAAATAAATACTTCAAAATTATTATTCAAGACGTTAAGATGTTTTCATACAATAGAAAGCTATAGACTAATTGCGATGCGTCAGTATATTTATCAAAAAAATATAGATGTTTACGCCTATTAATAGAACACAACCACTTTCATTTCGTTTTACACCGCCAAATCTATTGCTTAAAAGATTAACTAAAGAAGGAATATTAATTGGCATGAATGAATTTAACAAATATATAAAATGGGCGCTAGGGGGTTTTAAATTATTGTTATTTGCGTGCTAACGCCCACTTCAAATTCTTTACTGTCCGTGGTTAATACATATATTTGAAATCATTTATAATAAAGTCGTAAACAAATACTAATCAAACCTGTGTAATATATTATCATCGTTTTATGATATAAACCACACAGAAAATGTTATGATGCATTTGTGATGAAAATTCCTTAAGAAATTGCTTATAATTTTTATGCACCTAGTAACATTTGCAGTTTTTAAAGCAAACCACAAACAATAGAAATTTTTTAAAGAATCGATTCGCCATCGATTGTACTCGATGTAAAAAAATGATTTTTTTGCGTCATAACTACACGACGAATTCAAATACATAGCTTACTTAAATATTATATGTATACTTCAATGCAATATGAAGTACTATGCTTCATTTAAAAAAAATCTAAAAAGACGTTAGAAATAGTAAATAATAAAAGACTCATATTTTATATACTATTACGGATATCATTAGCTATAATTGATTTAATACTATCTAAACTGATAAGCGGAAGCCGAATCCGAACATATTTACAATGAATTCATAGTACAAAAATATGGTAAACTGTCGATTCGCGTGAAGTCTTTACGGGAACATTTTAACATATTAGCATATTTGCTTCTTTTTAAGGCATATCAGGAAAACGAAACTCTTTATATTCTACGGCTTCTTCCATATTTTTTTGGAATAAACCGATTTTCTAATTAAGGATTGAAAATCTTGGTGAAACATTGATATTGGCTTTCCAAATGACAGGATAAATCCATTTACAAACTGTACAAAGATATAAATTAAGAACGCGTAAATGATATTCTTTAAATAAAATATGTAACAGAGTTGAAACATGCAGCAATGTTCGCATTTTGTTGCTTTTTAGCAGGACCCTAAACATAGTATGATAAACTTTTTTGTAGATTGATTACTTACTTTAACGGATTTTAAGAGCGCAGTAAAATAAGTTTGTATGCTGTTTCGTATTGATAAGACAGTACCTATTACATACTTATAGTAGATTTATTAATGTTAACTATTTAATACATCCAAATCCAAAAAAATATAATAATATACAGTCTGGTTCTTATAAAAACTCACTTGTGATATTGACTTGCAGATATATACTAATTACAGTAATGTTATATTACATGATTTTATTTAAGCTTTGAAAAAAAAAAATTATACATGATTTATTTTATTACTTAGCATTTATTTCATATTTGCATTAATTATGTACCAGAGGTAAGTGAAAACTTTTAGGTAGGAAAAAAATACTACTAAAAGTTTTATAAATCTGACAAATAAATTCTGATGTTTGATTAATAATCCCAAACATTTGGCTATTTTTTTAAATGGTTTACCTTGTAATCCTTACTTGGTGATGTAAATACAAACACTAAAATTTTATTTATTAAGTAATAAAATTAAAGGTGTGTATAAAGGTAGAATAAAATCATTAATTAATAATTTAATGACATTATTTACAGTGTAGATCAACGGTATTGTTTTGTTTTCACCATACCTAGGTTATTGGTTGCAATTTTAATTAAGTAAGAGCCTGTGTAGCAAACTGGCTTATCTATAAAGTATTCATGGCACTGTTATCACAATATATTATTTATATTTTATTTATTGAAAAGACACCAGAGAAAATTATGCAATATATACTCAAATTCAAAAGCACTGCAGAAAGACTATGTACCTTGGATATCAACATTCCAACAGTAATATAGCTTTAAAAGTACTAAAAAACCTACCTTTGTTAGAGGTATGTATAATAATTTACAAAGATTGAATAGATATATGAATTATGACTTCTATATATTTTCAAAACAAATACCACACTGGAAATAATTCATTAAACTGAGTCCTGCTTGCAATAACAATATTAGGCCTGACTTAAAGTAGTGTACATTTGAAGGAACGCCTGGAACCTAACTTATTTCCTCGCCTAAATTTCTTACCCCGGCTTTCTTTATCTTTGCGAATCTCTCTAACTAGGGTGTAGAATGCATCATCAACACCCATACGGGTCTTAGCTGAGGTTTCTACAAAAGGCACTCCATAACTTCGGGCAACCTGAAATTATAGAAAAAGAGAATTAACTATTTTACAGATCTTGGGTACAATTTTTTGTTGCAGTATAAAAAAAAATACAGGGAATGTTACATTACAATTATTACGTAAATAGTGTAATCTGTGAATCATTGTTCATCAACCTGTAAATTACAGAAAAAGTTGCTACATAGTTATTTGAATAATATAAATAGTGGTTCTGAATCATATCATGTATTATTTTAATAATATCCCTGTGACTAATTAAATCCTACATGGAAAAGCATATATGCAATATTATTACTTGAGTGTTGAAAAACACTGTTTAATATATATTAATTTATAAGGAGTTATGTCCAAATTTTCAAAAATAAATGGTTATCTTATTAACTACTATATTATTTTTTACATAAATATAAGACACAGATGGTATCAAAGTGTGTGTATCAATTGTTGATGGTATCCACAAAAGATGTTGGTGTGTTCTCTCGATTACCAAATTAAAATAATGGATTAGTAATTAACTCATACAAGCAGGTAAAAAGGTAGGTACTTGTCCTAAAAAATTATTAAGTATTTATACACATTTTGAAGTTCAAAAACATCTTAGAATAAGTTTCCATGCTATCATCACTTACTTCAAATCTTGTTAAATTTTATGAAGTCCTTCATAATAATGACAATGCAAATCCATATAATTGTTAAAGATATAAGATAATTATAAAAATCTATACAACCATTTATGTATAGTACTAACCTGTATATATTTTAGACAACTACTTTTATTTTCTCTATTTAATGTCAATAGACAAATAATGCAATATATCAATGATTAATAATATGAGCCATACAAGATATCCAATAGATTCACATTATTAATTGAGTATGATGAAAACATGCTCTCTAAATTCACTCTAGATATCCAGGATGAATTTTTTTACAAAAGACTAGTATGTTACTAATGAAATATTAAATATATTATACCTCTCTCGCCTGCGTCATATCTACCGCCCAGGCTTGCAAATCACACTTATTTCCAACTAACACCATCGGCACTTCTTCTGCGTCCTTCACTCGTTTAATTTGTTCCCTGTATGACCCTATATCCTCAAAACTCTTAGCACTGTTCACTGCAAACACTAGCAGAAAACCTTCACCAGTTCGCATGTACTGATCTCTCATAGCTGAATACTCCTCTTGTCCAGCCGTGTCCAAGATGTCCAACAGGCAAGTCTCTC